TTGGTCCTTAGAGTAGTGATCTTCATGTGATCGGATACTTTTGTCAGGTGAGTGTACCTCCAGTGGGTAACCCTGGACTAGTGCAAGCAGACCCATATCGATACAAGGCAATGCTTGCAAGTGTCAATATAGCATTGATGCTGCCTCCAAAGGGAAACCCTTAGTCATTTTAACCTTAGTTAGAGCAGAAGAAATGTTTGATCAATATTGGATTTGGGCATTAATAAGTCTTGAAATACTACAAGTAATCCGCGAACCATATGCCTAAAATGTGAACTGTGATATTACGTGATCACATCCCATTAATAATTATAAAAAGGTCATTATTTTCTTTTGCACGAAAAGATTATCACTTTATTAATATATTGTTAAGAAAAGATACGCAAGATTACTGAAAATATGATAGTCATAAAATTTTTGCTATCCTTATTTAAGCTAGAATTGAAAGAATTTTACATGTTTTACTATAATAATTCCCCAACCATATACTTAAGAAAACGTCAGAGGAATTTCGTTTTCGGAAGATTTCTGTATTACTACTTCGATGAGGCCTCTTAAAAAGGAAATGACAAATGAGATAAGAAGCTCAATATTATAACGTAATGAAGATCCGTCTCTTATAGTCCCTAATTATTTACCTAGTTTTTCATTAAGCTCCTCGACTAGTTCCATTACTCCTTCCGCCGGACTTGACTTGAGCTCGTAAAGGCCGGGTTTTCGAGTCAATTTCTCTTCAGTTAATCGGAGAAAGGCCTTACCCGTAAGATCTTGATTTCGGATTTTTTCGATTTCGGTTTCATCATAATCAGAATTTTCCATGCGAGATTTAAGAAATTTCTTTACATGATCGGGAGACCAGCTTTTAATATCAGCGTGAATATCATCTTCAGATGAAAGATAAAAAGGTAATGATAAGTATATTAATTTTTCAAACTAAACCAAATTGATCATCATTCTTACCATCGCTAGAGCTTATCTTCACAGCTTCTCCGTTGTCATCCCGAAGAAGTTTTCGATTGTCAACAATTTGGGTAGAAGCGTTCCCTGTTGCAATCATCTGTTGTTTTACCTAATTGAGAGGAAATGTTAGCCAGTATGTTTTATCCGCAAATTTTCAGACTAAAATTTACCTGTAATGTATCGATTTTAAATTGGGAATAATCTCGTTTAAGATCCATATTGAACTTCTTGGGAGAAGTTTTCCAATTCTAAGCAATACAAAATGGGAAATTGGAAAATTTTGCAAGACTGTGGTGTTGAACGAAGAGTTCGTCACTGTGAACTAAGAGTTACAGCTGGTCAAGCGTCGAACATGGAGTTCTTTGCTGTGGACTAGGAGTGTCACTGGAACTAAGAGTTCCCAGTTTCGCTTGAAATGAATGAACTAAGAGTTCAGGTCTCGACAGGACTGGAGCTAAGAGCTCAGTTTCGGCTTGCGGTCTCCAACTTTTCTTAACTCGTTAAAATCTCATTTTATTAAAAAACCTACCTTTCAATGATCAATGATTGCTTGCGCCTTTCTCCTACGCTCCGCACCAAACCCAAAATTTAAGTCCGTAATGCATGTAAGGTCTTTCTTTATGGTATCCAATACGTAACTCCACTCTTTTCTAAGTTTTCACGGTAATGTTCTACTAACTTATTACATGACCAGTTTTCGAGTGGAATTGTGTTATAAAAATCCAAGTTAAGTTTGGAGGGCTTGGAATAAGGCAACCTTTCCTTCTTACACTCTTTAGCAAAGTTCGCAAGCACCAACGCAGGACCTGCCTTTAAATTAATATCTCGGAAATCATGTTTGGTCATTTCGAGGAAGGCGCGACCAGTAACATCATTATTTTCTAAACTTTTGATAACTTCCTCGCTTATCCTAACTCCTTTTCCCGCAAAAAGGATATAAGTTTCTCAGCATCGTATTTTTCCAGCGCGACCGTCTCATTTCCAGCAGGTGTACTAGCAGACATAGCGTCACGTTTTTTATTGCTCGGATAAAAAAAAAGAGTTGGTGTATGTGAAAATCTTAGCCGTCGCACAGACCTATTGTGTGATAATTTATAATGTCACAGGCATAGATAACAACTTTGCCAAGAAAAAAATATTTTATTAATTCATGCAAAAAATAATACAAAATTTGAGTCCTTTACACATGCCCTATCCTTTAACAAACACCAAAACCTCTTTCATACTATCATATAATTTTTTTTTTTTTTATTAAGCTGGCTCAACCTCCAGTTGGACTTTATTAAACTTTTATTTTGATATTATATTGTATTATCAGTTTCGAAGTTAACTAAATTTCACAAACTATACTAGCATGTATGTTGGGATTTTTAGAAAAAAATACCTTCTGGTTCAGATCTCCAGTGAACCTCTGTGGCCTGTTGCCCCCCTTTCAGGGAACTAACTTGCCTAGGTTAAGTTAGTGCTAGTTTCCTTGTTTTTTAGAGTGAAAAGGAAATTGAAGGTTTTCTGTTTTTTTCAATCTAAATTGGTTATATGCTTTTGTCTCCAGGTGTAACCCCTTGACATATCTTGGCTCCACCTGCCCTTTGCTTTCTTATCTGCTCTTGTTATCCCCTGGAATATTTCCCACTTGTTTATGGCTTTGCATCTCTGTTTTCAGGTGACTCTTGCAGTTTCCTGAAGTTTGTTAAGGCATTTTGTGAGAGTTGATTTGGCTTTCTTCTTGAAAATTCTTACTCAGTTGTGTATCAATTTTGCTATGTCACGTGGGACTAAACTTCTAACTGTTATCTGGATCCAGAGATGATTGTTTCTTTATTGACCCTTGTAGTCCATTCCTGTACCCAATGCTTGCTTCGTTTTTCCTTACTCTAGAGGAAACATGCAATTGTTTCTATCATGTGGCTGCCAAACTCGAAGCATTTTTGCTGCATGTATACACATGTGTTATGTCTTCCATTGCTGCCTTGCACCTAACGCATTGTCTAGATTTGTATAGGTCAGCCTTTTGTTCATGAAGCTTAGACATGGTTGGGAGTTCTTGGCTCCAGGATTTTAACATAAAGTTCTTTGTTGATGATCCTTGGTGCTTGTTTCTCCTGTCGAAATCTTCTTTGATCTCAGAAAATCTACTGTTGCTTCCCAGTCTATTGTATCATAGTATTGGTCAATGTCATGGTTTCTTTCTAAATAACACCATTCCATAATCTGTTCATTTCGGAAATGGTTTCGGACTGCTTCCCTACTATTTTAGTTTGTTACCTGGCTTTTGTACCAGAGTTCAAGCTTATTTTTATTATTGGAAATGATGTCTAACTTGGTCGTTTACCACTTTAGCCTTGTGCGTTTGGCTTCTAAGTCCACCTTGCTGTATATGTATGCACCATTCCTTCAGATCTTTTCTACCTGAAGTTTGAGATTCTTAGAGCGGACCATATCTTTTGTATGTTCTACCATCTGTGCTATTTTGCTTCTATTTTTCATGACCGTTAAGGCTGTTGTGATCATCTGGCTGTCTGTGTGGATTGTTACTTCCGTTTTTGCTGGGAGAGTGACTAACACAATCATAACTGTGTTTAGTTCTGCCTCATTTGGTATTATTTTTTGAAGGACTTGGAATGCTGCTATCTCAGTCTTGTCCCCTGTCAAGAGGTTGGTCACGTAAAATGCAAAAGTGTGAAAGTTTTTATAACAACTTGCGTCTGTTGTGATTCTGATCTTTTTCCAGCTTTCCATGTTTTGTTGCAAATGTCTAAGCTTATTTAGGCTAGTGCTGTTCTTGATCCATCGACCCAACTCATCCGTATATGTGGAAGTTATGATGTAAACATCCTTCAATTCAATCGTAGGATTGTTCTTATGTTGGATGAGCCTTGTCTTAATGCTGTCCGGGGATGCAAGCAAATTGGTTAACTTGCATGTCCTTCCGTCTTTCGCCACTTGTTTACTGCTCCCAGTGACTGTTATTATATCTTTGCTTGGGAGATTTATTATGCAGGTGCCTTTTTCAATGCTTATGTTGTTATCGCATTCCTCACATGCCTTTAAGTGTGGTGCCAGGCTGTTTATAATATAATGCCTTGCCGTAGTCATGTTTGTGTCTTTCTTTTTAATTTTCCTTACTAACAAACCTTCCTCTCCAGTTTCTTTCAAAGTTGCTATCCATACGAGTTTGTTCTTTTTCAGACATCTGCTGCTCATCTTATCAGCCCAGGTTATACAGTGGAAGGAGTTCGTACCAGGGTGAAGGTTGGTTAACCTTGTTATATACTCTGGATGTAGGGTTCCTATAGTGAACTTGTTAATGATATCTTTGTAAAAATGAGGTTGTCTTCCTTGCACTCTTCACCCAATAATTTGGCATACTTGTATCCAACTGATGGTTTTAATCTTACTCTAGTTAGTGAATTACTCAGCCCATCTTAGGCTATTTGTTCTGAGTTTGTTCCTGTGTTTCTTGAACCAGTATGGGCCCATAAGTATCTCCAAGGGGATCAGTCCAGATTCCGATGTCTTGTGTGTATGCTTCACCTTTCTGAAGGAGAAGTCTTGCCTTTGTGCATCAATAAGTATATCTTGTAGGAAGTTGGTACCCATTGGATATATCTTTGGACATTTTTCCAAAATATCTGTATCTGACCATGATGCTCACTGGAGGTTTATTACCCTCTCCCTGTATAATTGTCCTGCATAGTTGGTTGCTGGGTGCAGCTTTTTGATTAGTGTAATGTGCTTCTGAAGCATGTGTGCCTTGAGGTTGATGATATTGTATCCAAAATCACTGTGGAAGATATAGTTAGGTACAGACATTGCGAAGCCTGCCTTGTGTTTAAAGATCCTTCTGAGCTTCCTGTTGATGTTGTCAACTTTAGAATCAGAGAGATAAAAGTCTTGTACCAGATATTCTATCTTCAGCATGATTACATGATTAAGTAGGTATTGGGCTTGCTTGTCTGTTACTCTTTTCCACAATAAGCGGTTGGCAAGGTTTGATGTTATCTGGCTAACCAAGTCTGTTTGATGTTTCTTTTTCCCATTTTGGTCGAATCACACTCCCAGGTATCTGACTGCCCCCCTGAGCAGCTCTGATCATATTTTGCTTGAAAGTTATTTTGGATTCTCTTTTGTTGTTAATTATAAGGAGCTCTGACTTCTCTGGGTTGACTTTAACTTGCACAAGGTTGTAGAATGAACTGGCTAGCTTCAAAATAGTTTCGAGTTGTATTTGGTTTCTAGCTATCCATGCTGTGTCATCCATATATACTATAACAGATGTGTTCGTGATACTTTGTGATGTTCAAAGCTGTGAAATGTCATATGCTTTTGTAATGCTTCTATACCCTTGTGTTTTGTTGATCCTGTTTACTAGTGGGTCATAGTAAATGTACCATAAAAGTAGTGATATCGCATCTTCTTGATTGATTCCATTTCTCATGTCATATGGGTCTGTAATCCCTGCTCCTGTAATAACTGTATTTTTTCTATCCTTAAAACCTTCCATTATAAGGTTTATTAGCTTGTCTGGTAGTTTGATTCTTCTCATGACCAGTGTTAATATAACTAAATCCACATTATCATATGCTTTGCTCATGTCTTGAAAAAAGATCCACAATTTCTTGCTGTTTTCTCTTGCATTTTTAATGATTGTGTTTATTTTAAAGATGGGTTCCATTGTGCTCATCCTTGGTAGGGCTGCCCAGTTGTGTTCTGACAGTATCTCATGGTTGATAAATATGTTAGACAGCCTGTTCACCAGTCCTTTTGTAAAAATTTTCTTGATTGACTCCAGAAGTGTGATGGGTCTGACTTTTGTTAGATCGTTACCCCAGTCGTATGTCTTTGGGATTAGGTAAATGGTCCCTTCCTTCTATTCTTGTGGTATCGTGCCAGAGTGTAAGATCACATTAAAAATGTTTTGACACTCCCAATTGCTTTTTTTTTTTTTTTGAGTACCTGTAGCCAGGTTAGATTGTCAGTTTATTAATCAAATGAAAACAAAAGTATATTTTCATTCGAGCAGCATGATACATACTACAGCTAATCTATTATTCTAATCTAACTAACTCGTCATAAGCATAAAAGCCTCTAAGTTCGGCCTTGGGGACAATATTTTGCTCCACAGTGTCTTTGGATGAAGACCCTCCTAGTCCACTGCATCATTGCCAACAGGTTGTCACTGCCGTATGTCTAACCAAGCCGCTGGAATACAGGAAACTACAAAAGGATGGGTTGAAAAAAGGGAAGGGGAGATATCTAAAAATGTCTAAGTAGACAAAAAGAAAATGAAAGAGTAAAAATTGAAAAAAAATATTTCCAGCTTCCTCCAAAGACCTGCTTCTCAAGACCTCTTCTCAATAAGAAATGCC